TTTGCGTTTTTTGAGTATACGTCGTTCTGGTGGATTTTTGGGAACTTTCTGTAAATTATACAGAAAAATGTTTCAAAAAGAAAGAAAGCTTATAGAATAAGCTTTCATTTGATGTATAATTTGTATTTTTGGGAATTTTTTTTCATAATATAATATTATATAATATATATATAATATAATAGAAATGACAGAAAAATGCTACATATAAATCGTCAGCAAAAACCGAAAAAAAAAATAAATTATAGCCAAAAAAAAAAAAAAACAAATATAAAACATTCCTATTCCACACAGTTATATAATTTATTTACCCAACCATCCATAACTATAAGCGTGATCTTTCCATTCAAAAGCGTCGACTACCCTCTCATTTCTAGGCCTAGGCTCAACTTCATCAAGAACATCTCCGCCGTCACAACTGCTTGAAGCCCCACCGTCATCATCGCTAACAGGCACGTCTAAGGCTCGCACATTTAAAAATTCACCTTCATCGCTGTCTGAATCAAAAATCAGGTCAATCGCTTGCTCAGCTGTGTACACATCTTGTGCGGCCATTTCGAAAAATGTTTAAATTAATAACGATTTCAAATTGATATTTCTAGAATTTTCTATATAAGCGCATGTGAGTTCTTCACAGATTTCGAAAGACAAAAGCTTCACGCATGCGTGTTCAAAATTTCTGACGTATTGGAGCTAAAATAAAAACAGAAGAGCGATTTGAAAACCACCTATTTTTTAGTCACAAAATTTCGATTGCAGTCGAAAATGGGAATTCTCGGTTTGAGGTCAATTTCGACTTCAGTCGAAGACGGTATCTAGAGGGTTAACACATTATTTACTTGAACTATGCCTTATTATTGTTATTCTGGACTGATAAATCAATAAATATTGACAATAAACAATGATGTTCTAGTTCTTCATGCTTCACTAGTTTTTGCTTTACGAATTCAGGATACTCTGCTACATAATTGTCCAAATGGACGTAGATAAGTGAGAGGTTAAATTGAAAGTGAACATCACAAGGGATCAAAACTATAAATCCTTTTCAGTGAAATAACAAATGGTGGATAAGGTAATGAAGCGAATATAAATAAGAATCCAAGCGGTCTGTTATGCTCACAATGTGTGTTAATATATTCTGCATGTCAGTAACACGTATCTATATATGAGAAGAAGGGTTTGGGGCGCCACCTGCAAAAATGATCTCTAAAATATATGCATTTATAATAAACGCTAAAGATTTTATTTTACTAGGCTGTATTTTGGGAAATGGAACTCCCAGACAAAGAACAAGAAAATATTTTTTTTAAATAAATAATTAAATAGATCGAAGATTAAAAAATTACTGTATTTTTAAAGGAATAATAACTTAGTAACTAATAAATCAAGTTTATAATTATTTTATTGCCATCTATTGATTTTTTTTATTCAGTGAATCAGCTTCTTTTTTATTCTTAAAAAGATTGACAAGAAGTGGAGGCTCTGTGAAATGAATCCACAACTGGTAATGTATACACCAGCAGTTGTTGAGGATGGCGGTTGTTGAGGATGTACGTATGCTGCAGAGAATTCCAGTATAAAGGTTGAGGTTTTGTAACATTTCATTATTCACATTATCTTGTTAGACATTATCTTATCTTTTTTCCACATTACATTATCTCATTACAACTAATAAGGTTTTATTATGTCCTGAGTGAGAATTCAATAAGAAAGGAACTGGTTAATTTTAAAGAAAAAAAAATGAATTTGACTACAAACCTTGTAGATTGCGTTTCTAACAGATCAATGTAAGTGATAATAAATTTGTGAAATTCGGCCTTCTGCTCTTCCTTGCTTAAGATCGGGTCCCACGATTCACCAATTGGCTCACCAAATAACACCTGAGGGGGTAAAACAGTTAAATTGAAAAGCACTGGTTAGATGTTTGCTTGTGCCAGGGTTCAGTGTAGTTATTAATGTGCTGTATGTAATTTATTAAGACAAATAAATGAAAGAAAAGTAATTAAAAGCTAGAACCAATAAAATAGCCGTAATATTACTTAAGTGAATTTTACTTTTATGCAAGAATAGGAGTCAAACTTTAATTTTTTATTACACTGAGAATTTTTAATAGAATTTGAATCGGATAATTTGAAAACAATATCCTTGCTGAGGAATTGCATTATATATTACTTCCATTAAAATATATTGTACGTTTAATGGAAGGTATCTCATAGAGTACTTCCCCAGTCAGGGTCACTCTATTCATCTATTTACTTCCAGTTCAGAGATTTTAATAACAATTATTGCAAGTATAGTTGCCAGATATCAGGTAAACAATGCAGGCCTTATCCAGAAGCTTCTTTATGAAAGGCTCCAAACGCTGTCACTATGCCAATCCCTTTTAAATCTCTTAATCATGTTTTTGGTTTGATCCACCATTAAACTTATCTATAGTGTTAATTTTTAAAGGAAGGCAAATCTTGGACCAATTAACAAAAAAGGAATTTACAAGTTCAAGTTCAAAAAATTTATTGTTATAAACAAAGTCAATGAAATTTGTTTTTCAAGGTTCACAACAGTGACATACTAAAATACCATACAAAGGATATGTTATAAAAAAAGTTAACCTATGCGTAAAATGATATAAAAATTAAAAATATAAAAACCGATAACCATTGCGTAAAACTGCACTGTAATCGAGTAAAAAGCATACTGTACAGTAAATAGTAACTAGTTACTTCCACCTTCATGTTTTTGTTGTCCTCCAAGTGCAGTGGCTGTAGTCAGTGGTGATGCTATTCGGGAGCCAGGTCCCCTGTTGGGAGGGTTGCTTCCCCCTCCCCCATCAGGGGGAGGGGGCCTTTATCAGGAAGGAAATTCCTATTATCTTTTACAAATTATGACACTGTAAAACTGATTAAATAAGCAAGTCCTATTGCACTCCTGTTTGGGACACTTGCTTCCCTTTGGCCAAATTCTGGCACCCCCTCTGTTGCTCTTGATATCTTACTGTACATCACTTCTGCTGCTATCAACCGAAAAGCCACTGTTGCTGTTTTAATGTTCTTTCAATTACTTCTTCTATCCCTTTTCACTGTGTTTTGCACAGGGTTTTTCTATGCAGAATTTTGGCCATTTTTTCCAGTTTGATCTTCATCAAACTTAGTCCAAGCAAATTTATTATTATTTATTGTAAGGATATGCCTCATAAAATATTACGTAATTGAACACATTTTTATATCTGGTAATTGAAATATTGTATTAACATAATCTAATAAGTGCTTCAAACTAGTTAGATTCACTTAGATGCACTTTTTCTGTGAAAAGCATCAAGGCTCAGTAGGTTTTGGGTTTTTTGAAATAAGCTTTTTAATAAATTGTAATTTCCGAGGGGTTTTACAGACTGTCACACACAGAACAGCTTGGAACCTACTTAGTAATGTATTAGCCTTCGGCATGCAATAAAGAAAAAACATTGGAGGAAACAAAGACAGGATGGAACCAAAGGCGATGCAGTTGGTGGAACCAAAGAAAACCAATAATATCAGTTAATTTAATAACAGTATTTCCTGTTATATGTATTTCCTGTTATATGTTATTGTCTTCATCTTTTTTGTTAAAACTCTTAAATAGTATCACACACTAGGATATAAATAGTTGTACTGTATTGTATTGCACACAGCTAATGGGACTGTTGCTTGGTGCTTAATCTATGGCTCTTGGTCCAATTCCTGTTACAGGATTATTTCTCACGATCAAAACAACTCCATGTAATGAAACTTTGTTTATGTAGACCGTGTCTATGTTTGCATTGGTGTAACACATCCTGTTAAGGGTTTGTTGGATGAAATAAAGCACAAATATAAAATTACCTCTGTACGTAACAAAGAGCTTCGTCTGTTTGTACTGTTCATGTTTTGATCAACATAATAGTACACGTCTTCGCTTGACATTGCCTTTTCCAAAGCTCCCTCTATGTCTGCCAGTTCAGTTCCCATACCATCATACCTGATCTACAATTACAATAATCATATATTAAGAAAATTATTTGTCATTGCGACGTCATCCTGTAACTCCCGATGTAATATTTTTCTATCCCCAACCATACACTAATTTTTCATTAGTGCATGGTTTGCATGAATTTTTTTTTTTGGTTTGTGTGCAAAAGGCCAACTTATCTTGTATGTATTACAATACCACACACTACAACGAATTCTAGGCTAGTTTTTTATGTGCAAAAAGAGAGGGAAGACACTCACCGAATAGTTTGACAAGTGGTAATTTTAAAAATGACAAGCTTAAAACAAAGTTTGCAACTACTTCAATTACTTATTATTGTCTGGTGAAAATGTTGTCATTTAACTTAGTTTGTATAGGCTGGCTTGATGCCAGAGTAGATTTTTTTTCTAACACTTTAAACAGTATACAGTACTAATAAAACAATTAATACAGTATATAAAGGCAAATTGAGAAAAATTGATTAATTTCCATGTGTCAAATTAGTTGGTAATAATGGTTAGTTTGGATATTTTATATTAATATCATAAAGTGAAATAGGATAGGAGTTGCATGAATCATACCAAGGATAACCCACAAAATGTGAAGACTCGTTTTGAGTAGAGTACTTCTGGTGGTGAATTGGGCGATACACCAGGAAACAATCCCTACAATTTTCCAAAGAGTGTACAGCGTTCTTTAACGTGCACAAGGGTCATATTGCACACAGCACCAACCACCTTAAACGCCTCATCAGAAAGACGGAGCACTGTAATTTGTGTTTCAGCCCTGTAGCTGAAACACAAGAAGAGCGGCGATGGGAATTTACCGGGCACCATTTTAGCTGACTGAATAAATAAAAGAATTCTTACATTATTTCCAGTTTTGCTTGGAAAGAAGTAGGTCATCATGGAGTTCAAAGGTGAACAGTAGTCGATCACAGCCAGAGCAGGGTCCTTCCGTGCTGACAACGACCTCGAGCAAAATCGCGTAAAGTCTTTTTGGTTAATAATTTTCATTTCAATGTCATGTATCGTTAACAATCTTTCTTCTGTGAAAATATTTAAGTCATCATCGCCGCGTGCGACAAACACTACTTCCATACGCCACAAGGATGACCTTGTTTGGAATGTCAAAACATCTCTCTGTTGTCTGCTATTAAGCAGATAATTATCTGCAGTTCTTTCTATTGCACTTCCTCCCATACTTCTCCTACTTCTCCTTGCTTTATTATTTCCATTCGTTTTCTTGAAGTTAGCTAAACTAGTTACCATCTCCTTCTTTGCCAAATTCAACGCTTCTTGTCTTTGAGAAGTCACATGATTCGGAATTTCAAATGCATCAAGGGATATGTCAAAATGGGGCACTGGTTTGATGTATAACACGGATATACCCATTAACGTTGCAGGTAAACAGAAACTAATCACTATCACAAGAATACCAACAGGCATACTGACAAACAATTGTCCCAAAAATTTCCACACCCGTCCAAGTTTGATTTTATACTCAAGGTTAGGTCTGCGGGATGACATTTTAAAATTAAATCCGCCCCAGAGACTTCCGCGTGTGTTCTGGAAACCTTGGAAGACGTCTTCGTTAAGGATGTCATCCTCGGATGTTGATGTCTCGGAACTCGCTGTCGATGTTGTAGACTCAGATTGGACACTGCTGGCCTCATAGCGAAATGTTGGTTCTTCGTCATAGTCAAGGTCAAAATTTGTAGGTTGAAAATTGAACTGCAGCCGTGACATTTTATTTCATATGGCTCAATAGATCTGCAGATTTATCATAAGTTAAAACAATTTTTTCAAACAATGGGTATGGTAGCACTAAGAAACCACTAATATTGCTTAAAAGAGAACTAGCAAAATGATTTTTTGTTCTAGAGAGGATTTCTGATATGCAATTAATAATAGAATCAACCTTAAAATCGTTTTTTGGCTTTTTTTTATGAAGTTATAGGCGATTATACAGGTATACGATTTTATTATGACGTCACTGGCGAAAAAGTAACAAAAGATCGTGTAAATAGCGCCGCGTAGGGTATCCGCAGCGTACGATCTTTGTGTGTATGCTGTAACCATGGCTGTAAATTGTGATTGTTACAGCATGCACGCAAAGATCGTACGCGGTGGATACTCTACGTGGCGCTATTTACACGATCTTTTGTTACTTTTTCGCCACAGACGTCATGGTAAAATCGTATAATCGCCTATAACTTCATAAAAAATAGCCAAAGAACAATTTTAAGGTTGATTCTATTATTAATGGCATATCAAAAATCCACTGTAGAACAAAAAATCATTTTGCTAGTTCTCTTACAGTAAGTTTGTTTAAAAGAATAACATAACAAGTTTGAAAATTAAATAACCAAATTTAAGAGTAATCCAAAGATCAGACATGATAAAGGTCACTATACATTATAAATGGACAGAAAAAAAAACCACTTTAATTTTTAATAAATAAAACATCAATTTGTAAAGCATCACTTAAATTCACATTAAATTTTCAAAATGCTTGCAATGAATTAATGAAATTGGCCTATTGAATGAATTTGCAGGCAGACAGACAAAGTGTAAAAAGGCAATTGTCATTGTGTTTCTTCTTTGTTAGTTTATGTCCCTTTGTAAGAGTGAAGAAAGGAGGGCATAAATCATACACACATTAAAAAAAAATCACAACAAATTTAATTAAACTATACAATTTGTCTGAAGTACCTGTATGGTGCTTGGTGAACAGAAATTACTCTGGGATTAGATATAAAATTGAAATTAGCCTCTTTTAATTAAGAACGTGGACAAAAGATACGCATTAACAAAGCAAAATTTACAGTATTATCTTTGTAATTTCACGCAAATAAAAAGGCTTGAATAAACCTCCTTAAAGTCTCTACCTACCCGTACTTCTCACAAACCTGAGCCTAGGCAAGGCCTACTATTACTACTACTAGTTACTACATACAGGCAGCTTACAATACAATAACAATGTCGTATTTTAGATAGTAAACATAACTTACTCTAAATACTAATGTTAATATTAATGAGACTATCGAGTAGAGATACTTACTGGTTTCAATCGAAAATATATTTGTGGTTGGTTAGATGTTCATAGTTGTCATGAACCGATAACCAAACAGAGCTCGCAGTCCGTCCTCTTTGGAGATGAATGATTTCTTTGTTTACCTCTTCCCCTGCCATCGACTGTGCTTTCTGTGTTTCGACGTGATAACTGACGTCAATCTCATATTACCTTTGTATTACTGATAGCGGGCGCTCTATCAAAAGGAAATTTTGACAAACATTGCAAATTTTATAAGCACACATATATATA